AAACAAAAGTATGTCAAAGACTTTCCCGCTAATTCCCACTAACACCGGATCCTCTTAGAGCTGCTCACACAAAAACCATTTTCCCTCCTTCGCAACAAAAGTACGACCCTTGGTGTGGATTTCTCAATAATAATGGGCACTGATCGGGAAGGGAGAGGTGTTGTTTTCAAGAATCATTCCCATCGTCGCAATGTCCCTGCGGTCCAGGAGCTTACCTTGAAAAGCGTCTGGGAACCCGTTAGGAGACCAAATTTCTCACAGCGGTGCGATCCCCACCTCCCTCTGTTCCATGCCTGTTTTCCAGAATGCCAAAATAAGTGTTATTCTTTCAGATGAGTCTGATGCCGATTACCCTGTCTCAGAACTATGAAAAACTTGCCCGGGTTTAGCGGGAGTCAGATGGGATCAGACCCTGAGTGGCACCGCTTGCTACTATTAGGCTTCCTGCGCTCTTTTGAAAACTTGCCTCAGAAAAATTCCATCATTCGCCAAAACTCGGCAGTGGCATCATTTTGTAAGTACGCAATCGTGAACGAACACTGCAGGATTCCATCTGTGATGACTAGCGATTCTTTCAAACTTGGCTTGTACTACTCCGGTCAGTTAAGAAGATGTCTTGCAGGCTTTTCGAGAGTCAACGGCGTAGTCGATCGGTCGTTCTTACGGAAGAATCAAAGGAGAAAGTGTCACGCACTGTTGCTATATTCATAGCTGTAAAATTCGTTATATTCAGGTAAGCTCTTCATTTTATCCTTGGAATACGGTATTCTCCCATATTTTTATGCGAAAATCTCACTTTTATGCTGCCTACATAGGTTAGAGAATTCACCCGGACAGATGTGACGTTGCTCACTCAGTTCGTCTAGAGCGTGGCCACGGCACGGCACGTCGTACGTTGGGGATCTCCAGTGAAAGGGGTCGTATTGATCACTGGAGGCAGGAAATCAGGATTGTCTTTGTTAAGAAATGTTTTTGGAAGTTGACTGACGTGCCTGGCTCCTCCTCCCCCCCCCTCCCGCGCTCGATCGCAGTTTTCAAGGACAAACTGGGAAAATTCTCGGAAAATTCCGCCAAAGATGATAAGACGCTGGGAAAGGGGAACGTACCAGAGGAGGAACTCTCGAGGGGATCTTATGGCGTAAATTTTTCCTCGCGGTAGGGCGTTTCCTGAGCGTGATTCCTCCCGGAGCCTATAGCGCCCATGCTTACCAATAATCTAGGCTCTAACCGAATAATTCAAAGAAGTAACGACAGCTCATCTTCATGCTGTAGGGTGACGTTGTGGTGCATCAGATATGAGAAGCATTCAAATTTTGGGCATTTTTTCCTTCATGCTGAAACTGTAATTTTGAGAGCACGTTGGAGCTAGTTTTTTTTCAGGTCTATGCCTGTCTTCTTCGATGTGTACGAGAATCTCTATGGAATCGAATCTTTCGGTGTCGCACTGTCCATTCTCGTACGTATATCGGACTTTATGATCGTGCTCAACTCGGCTACGAATTCACTGGCTTATTTTGGAAAGAAAAGGTGAACTTATGATGGGTTCTTCAAAAATTCAATGACATCAGCAGAAGCCCTCATGGGTTTTTTCATGTCTATAAGAGTACACAGGGATTTCACAAGCGCGGCTATTTCTTCAAAGCTGTGCGTGGTGTGCTCCTACTTGGACCAAAGTGGATTAAGAAGTGCTAGAGGGAAATTTCATTTATCATTTTTGTTGTAAACCTCTTCGGGAAACATCAATCCCGTTGAGGGGAGCTTTTTGAAACAACAAATTATTGTGGATTCACAACCTGGTGGTCTAGAAAAGCAGTGATAAGGATGAGATCTCGGAAAAGCCATTTCGTTACTTCATGAGCTATCTTACTGGACGGCACCAGTAACTTTTTAGGGTGTCTGGTTATTAGAGAATTTTAAAGAAAAGCCAGGGTCGCAATCATATGGGAGATGAGGACTTGTGCCCAAGCGGGACTGACATCCAGAATGGGTGGGCTAATTTCGAGTACTTACGGCAATTTTATTCGGATAACGGTTATCCCAACCTAGCCCAGCTTGTCTTTCGCATGTCCTTCCAAGGAAATTAGCGCTCTGTGCCGTAGGAGTGTCAGAAACTCAAGTATGTGGTGAAGGAGTTGCTCTTCGTTCAAAAGCTGGAATTCTGCCCATTTTTCCCAGCAGGAGCTCCGCTTTTCCTGCGAGCCATCTTGTTGCATGATAGGCTCGAAGTAGAGCTGACATCAGCTCTTCCGCTCGCAGCTGGCTCCCTATGGAACTTACCTGGCTCGAAATAAAATAGGTCCTCCCAGATTGACTGGATCTGTTCTAGTACCGATCACTGGGGCAGGAGGAGCCTAGGGCCCGGCGAATTGGCGCCGCATCAGGAATCTTTGAGACGGAAAGGTGCTTTGTTACGATTCATGTGCAGTATTTCATGTACCTTTCTCCTCATAGGTGAAAATTTCGCTGAGGTGAACTAATATTCCAACAGAACCATTCAAAGAACAATTGAACTTCTTGACTGAACATTCGGAGCATGGGGGGGGGGTTTCTACTTTTGAAGTGCTTTTTCTGTAGTTGCGAGAAAATCCGTCACCACAGATAACGCTCAAGTAAGCAGCAATAATAATACATTCTGTGTTGATTCTTTTCTACTTTATGTGTACTTTACTTTACTTGTGTACAATACTTTTTGTATATTTCCTTCTAAGTATCAAACTGTTTAGATGGTTGGAGAAGCGTCTGCATCTACGACTAGTAAAACGAGACGAGAGACGTCTGGAGAAGGCGATGCGTCGAGCTAGTCAGGTAAACAGCTTCGTTCACTGCGATCATTGCAGTAATTATATATCAGAACTGAGATTGCGGATATTTAATTCCCTGAGTGTTGACTAAAAGTCGCTCTGCTGACGATAAGACAACGAACAACGACGGAAAAGGGGGGGGGGACAACTGAAAGATCTGAACTGAGGGCCTGTACTTTTAAACTTCAAGTAAAAAAATACTTACAGAGTTCGAAATAGTTCTGCTTCGTTTTTCTTTTCAAAGTTTCTCAGGAGGCTGTCTTTTGATGAATTATTCACAACAACGGGGAGCTTTTACATCGGAAGTTTCCCAAACCTTGTGAAAAACATTCAAAGCAAAAAACATGTCGTCTCAAAGTCTCCCCATAGCAATTCCTTCTGAGAAATCCAAGCAGTCCTATTCGAGTAACAAGAATTAAGCCGAGGGAATGGGAAGAGGGACGTTGCTTCTAGTACGTGAAGAAATGGAAAAGTCTTCGCCACAGATCAATCCTCTTTTGAGATGCGGCACGCATTTACCATCGCACTGAGCATTGGGGCAGTTTGGCAACGGGAGAAGGGGGCATTTTGCACTTTCGTTGCTTCACTACTTCCGGCTTGCAAGTCTCACTCTGGCAAAACCTGTGAACTCTTGTGAAGCTGGACCAGGCTCGTTGAGCTTGAGGCAAAAATTGTTAACTGCAAAAGTACAAAATGCCCCCGTCGCCGAACTGCGCCCAGAATTATATGGGTATTTTGGATGCAGAACGGTTTATACAATGAATGGCGGAGACTAGCCGATGTGCAAGTAATATTTTATCCTCAGACGAATCTAGTATCAATTCACCGTCTGCGAAAGGCAGAAAGTTTGGCTTCCTTAGGTGGGTGAGCTTACTACTCGCGCTGTCGGCAATTTGTCCACCCGACCGCGCGCGTGGAAAGCTGGCCACTTGCCATTACACAAATATCATAGAAAAGTTGCTCTTCGGCAACTGAACGAAAATTTAATCGCAGTAATGTGCTCTCTGTAATGTACCCTCTTTGTACACACTCCTATGAATCGTCTGAAAATTCGTGAAAAAACTCTTAGCACGTTGATAACCACGTGACCCACATGCGCATCACGCTAGAGGGGCCACTTGGGACCGCATGAGTAGTGTATGAACCAGAGCCCAGTGTATGAACCAGAACCAGAGCCCATCGAATCACCGTTGGTGAAAGCTGCCAAACCTTCCTGAAAATTTTCTCGTTTTTCCCCCGAAATTTTGCCTTCCAGGCAAAAGGAAAGGTCTATATAGCACCAGTGAAACGGACAAAACTCGCAACAAGTCAACAACCGAAAGAAAATTTTGCAATGCCGTGAATTTCTCTGAAGGGCAAATACGACCCTCTTCCTAATGGGATACTGACAACGAAGTGAATTATTCCCAAGAAACAAGGAAAATAACTATCAAAGAAGTCTCCCTTAGACCAAATACGACCCCCCCCCCTGCAGTTTCTCAACATAGGACGTGCCCTGATTTATGCAAAAGCTCACTACTCATAAAATTCGTAGAATACGTGGTCTAATCAATAAATCAATACGCTGAACTGCAGCAAACGTTTTTCTTTTTCTGTGGACAATCAGGTTCTGTGTGGATCACTCCTGGAGGCAAGTTAATAGTGAAAGGAAAAATTTATCCAACTTTCGAGGGGAAGTTCGGTTTGGAACTAGCCTTAGTTATGGAAAATTGTCGCAGTAAATATTAAATGTGGGCTAGTTACCACAGAAACTTCGACAAATAGTAAACCCAAGGAGATCGCGATTTGGGGACTTTCTGATCAGACTTTCTCCCACGTGACCGAAAAAGTCAAGACGCGTACGGTCGTCAGCGTGTAGGGAGATATTATCGCAAATGGAAGGGATGCAGCAGAGACACTCAGTTCATGAAGGGCACCCTTCCGTAAGAACGCGGTAAAGGATTGTACGTTCACGGGCAGGAACCTCAATGCCTGCGTCCGATCAAAGGACACTTCACGATCCCCTTGACTGACAGGGTCAAGTAATAGGACGCATATCTTCCAAATCAAGTCGTCTGGGTTGCAGGGCGCCTAGTGCCTTGCAGTTACTAAGCGACGGTCTCCAGGAACCTGCATGGGGAGTTACTTTCCTATCGGACTCACACAGTTGCTGCAGGCTGAAGCAGATACTGTTGGCCTCTTTGGATTGCGAGCTATGCAGTATGGCTTCACTTGTCGTGGAGATAACGGCAGAAGGCTTGTTTCTATTTGTGGGTGGGACATCTCAGGAATATTCTATGGTTCACGCCGGCGCAAACCATCTCCTCCGCCCTTTTTCTCACATACACACGCTAGGGTGATGAAGAATCCCACAAGTACAGATCTTTGACTCTGCCGAAAACAAATGCTTCACTGAGAGAGTAGGGACTGCTCTGGTCCCGAGAAAATATCATCTCATATGTGGTCCCTAATAACTATATAATATTTACCAGTCCTATCAGAAATTGAACATATTACACGATTATCAAACCAGTTTGGACACTTTTCAAATACTTAAAGCGAACAATTTCTCAATCAAACTGAACACATGGTCTAGAAGCTTGTGGCACGGATACGTGGCAGGGACCAAACGAATGGTTTATGGGCTAACCAGGATAACGATGAAATCAAATCGAAGCACAAGTCGAACAAGCAGCAAAGAACCTTGGCCGGCACATCGTACCAATCGAAATTCCTATCGCCTTACTCCTCACATGCTCATCACCTATGAGAAGGTCTTCTCCAAGGTAACAGATTTCATCACTTGTGGTATGACCCCTGTCATGAATATCGCAGTCGTTTTGCATGAGAACGCCACTGAAGGAACTGGACATGGCCTACATCATCGGAATCCATCACGGGACGTCGTATTTGTGTCTCTAAGGGAGAAGATCGTATTTGGCTTCGTAAGGATGTTTCGCGGCCTTCAAGCGCAGAAAAAACACTTCCTCCGACAGTTGATTAGAGGTGTTTACCCCTCTGCATTAGATAGCAAGCCCTGGGGAAAAACGGAAGGGTGTGTTGTGAGAGGGCACAATCGTGTTGAAAGAATTTTAAAGGGAGGACATTACTGACGCCATTTCGCCCATTCCGATGCTGTATCCTTTCTGGAGTGATTTTCCGCTATATTTGGCGGTGGCGCCGAGCATGAGCGCGAGACGTTAATTGCTCCTGAGGGATATGATGTTCGAGCTCAGCGTGCGAAACTACTCATGGAATTCGTTTTGCAGCTGAATGGAGCTTCCGACCCAAGTCTGGAAAAGTAGAGTCGTCAAGGGCAAGATTGTGCTATCACTGGATGTGTTGACGGACACGTCTCCAGAGGTCTACCTGGATCGCCCTCAAGGCATATTTTATGGGCAGAAGGTAAAGAGTTCCAAGGGATCCATCCAGCGCTATCCTTCACTAAACAAAGGAGCAGACGACATAGACGACATATCAAAATCGCCACAAATGAGGCCTTGTTGTTTCCAGCACTGGATGGAGATGCGGTGAATAGAAAAGCAGAAACGCTTAGTGAGAAGCCAAACAAGCACGGGTGAGAGCCACACAGGCACACATATGAGGAGAAGAAAGTCGACAACATACAGCAAACCTAATTGCACACAGCAGGCCTTATTATTTAGTATGTACATGCACTTGGCATGTGTGAGATTTCTGGCCATCGCTAGCTCATTGCGCTCTTGACACACACTTTTAAGTTTCCGAAATGGCATGCAGTAAGTGTGCGTGCCATATCGAAGACTTCTCCCTGTACACAGAAAGGGTTCCACTTCTTAGGTAACCTCTTTTTGACCGCCAGGATTGATTGTTGATCAGTTGAGCCTAAAAAGTGTCCGTTGTCGTTTCAAAGTGTCCAGCTTGGCTTGAAATGTGTTCACTCTAAAACTGAAATGATGTAAAAAATAATAAACGAATTTTTAGGGAATGAGTTCAAAAAATCTCTTCTGTTTTCATTTTTCCTCATTTGCTTCCCTATTCTGCCTGTGGGTCCAGTGCCTGAAAACGCGCCTGAATTTCCGCCTCTTACGGCCAATGAGGAATGCTTGACCAATCCCTTTGCGGGCCCAATGCTTGCCCAATCCCGCAAAGGGATTGGTCAACGCCAAAAACTTAATTCTTTTTTAAGGGCTAATTGGCCGTTTCTTATCCCGTAGCAGAAGTCATCCGTAGCAGTGTGACACTTCTGCCTCTCGCATGTGTAAAGCATGCCTCATTTGCCACTTTTGCCTCTGGTGTACGGAACTTAAGGGAGATTTCTGATAGCTAGATGTTATTTCCGTCTCCGCCCGCTACTTGACACGCGATGTACTCACCACATGTTGCCAACACCTTCTGTCGGAGTTGTGTGACCAAGGTCCAGCACTGAATGTACTGGTACGCTGGCGAAGTCAAGCTGTAAGGAACAGCTGCTCCAAAAGCAAATGTAAGAGGGCATATGGAGCGTCTGTCTACGGTTAGCTGTGGAGATGACCGTGAGGCGTGATGCGTGTTTGTGATCAGCTTATCGCAAACTGGATGGCGGACGGAGACACAAAGAAGATACAACTGTTACAATCAGTTTTATTTCTGCCCTTCGCTCGAAGACGGAAGTAGTACTCTTTCACAGTTGTGGACCTTACCTGCTGATACTTGGAGGGGCAGACTTTGCGGGTGGCACTATGTGTCTTTAAGTGGCAAAGATCGCGTTGAGGACTAATACAAACTGAGAGCATGTAGCCTCGAGAAAAGGCCTCACCCTCAGCACAGTCACTTCAAAATAGGCAACTCACGAGTTTCTTAAGAACGAAAAGCTCGTGCGGCAAAAGCGAAAAAGGCCTCGTTCATACTCTGCGACACTGGAGAACATGAGAATGCGCACCAAAGAGCCACATGTTGGACGATTCTGCCCTTTGATGATTTGAAAACTGGGGAACAGCCGAATTCGACCATCTCAGTTTGTCGGGTTCTCACTTATCCTTCGTTTGCATTCCCCGAACCCCACACTTTTCTAATCTTATATTTTTCGTTTTCCACTATCGCAGAGTATGAGGTATGACCAAAGTGGCCTAATTTGCACACTACCGTATAATATATAACAGATAGTAACAGATAGCGCAGCTGGTTTGGGTGAAGTGTGTCTATTGCATCCCGTAAGAGACTGATCAAAAAACCGAATCCGAAGTTTTCTCTGTTATTTACCCTCTATTCCAGTACCAGTTTTTGTTTTCCGGCTTCTTATAGCCGGGGGTAGGGTTGTTATCACAGCG